TATTTGTAATAGCTGCTGCTTCATTGCTGTTGAGGGTCTAATGCTATATGTTTATGGCTGTGACCTAAAATTACTATATTTTTCTTTGTGTTGACTTTTATTGTTGGATAAAAGATTAAAAGGTCTTGTTTTGTACAGGATGATGCAGCAAATACTTTAGTGTTAAGTTTTTTACTTTTCCCCATTTTACAATCCCACAGAATGATCCTGTTTGGAAACAGAAAGCTCTAGAGTTCTTGGTATGTATATAAAATAATTGCAATAAGAATCATGCAGTTTCACCAGTATGATACAAAGAATATTGTGAAGGAGCCTCTGATTACTGATCAAGCTCATTTGACCACAACTTTAATTTCTATTTTAATGGACTGTGCTCTTTGAAAAGTGAGCACAGCTGTGGCACAATGTCAGCTCAGAACAACTTGCTGAATTAAATGTGAGCTCTCTACCTGTTCTCTGGATCATTCTTCCCTTTGCTGAGGAGCCACCCTGACAAGGAGTGCTAGCAGCACTGATGTTGCTCAAGTGCTGTTGGCTGCCAGTATCTAATGGGATTGCTGGTAACACTGAATGAGAGGAGCCAGCCCAGTCTTGCTGCCTGTGATGCTGTGGCTGGTGCTGTGGCTGCAGAACTGGACAGCCAGGTGAAACTGGGTGATACTAGAGCACAGCTGCTGGTGTTGGAGTGGGGAAGTTTTATCAGTTCAGTTGCTGTTAGCAGTGGCATATTAAGTCTCACTTTGTCCTTTGAGTTAAATGATCAGATATCTTCACGATATTATATTCACCATTTTACTGCATGAAAGTCATGGTCTATACCTAAGGTAATTAGAAAATTTAATTTGAGTCTGAATTGTGTTTATATGCTGAAATCACAAGTAGAATATTTTGAGTTGTGTGCTTCATTTCCAACTGTGGAAATTTTTTTCTCTTTCAGTTTTTCTTCTTTTCTTTTAAGCTGTGTTTAACTTGTGACTTTAGGAAGAGGTATAGAAAAGCAAGTCTGGGCATAATTAGTAAACTACCAAAAATGCTTGGTAGACAGTTAATTGATTTTTATCTACAGGAATCACAGCTATTCGTTATGGCAGACTGCCTATATTCCTTTGACTTACTGTATATACTTACTAATCATTCTATTTGGACATTAAAAAGACCGATAGCCATAATTGTGGTAATTTAGATACTTTGTTCTATTAATTTAAATCTATTCTTTACACTGTGCCGATTGTGAAAATTTACTTTTGCGGCCATCCATAATGATGCTTTGCAAGAGTACCGTGTGTCTTTGCCCTCTGAGTCAGCTCAGGATATAATTTTCTTTTCTGAAGCCTTCATGACTTCAACCTTGACTGTCTTAGAACACTTCTGTCTCACTGGACAGTATTACAGCAGTAAAGGTTATTGGAAATCCAAGCAGTAACCTTTCCTAACCTCTTTAACATGAGAGTTTGGGGATGAAAAGATGTTGGCCTCAGGTAAGACATAAAGGCAGGAAATGGGAAAAGAACAGGAGAAAAATACTTCATAGAACCTCAGAGTAGCTGTGTTTTCAGTTGATATTTTAATATTTTGCTGACTTTTAGTTCCATTTATTTATTCAGGAAATTCCAACTGGAATGAAGGTTTTTTGTCTCAGTATGAGGAGTGTTCTTCAGATGCTTCTTTTGCTCCTGCTAACTCATACAGTTCCCAAACAGATGGTGGATCATCTTCCTCTGGATTAAGATCTAGTGATTTTGCGATGATGTCTGCACTCAGAGACTCTTTTGCTCTTCAGACTGGAAGTCCTGCTAGTGGTATCAGTGAATGCCTGAGACAGTTCAGCTGATCTTCTGGCAGTAATTCAACTGGTAGGGCCTCTTCCTATGAGACAAGTCCAATGAGTGAGTACTTGGCAGAATGTATGTCCAATGATGTGCAAGGAAGTAAGCTCCCTGGTAACAGAATCTCATACGGCAGGGAAAGTACAAACTGGAGGAATCAACAAGCGTGTACAAAAGCAAGGAATACAAGTGATCAAGGATTACCCTATCCCAATACTTCTGCCCCTTATCCTTCATCTGGAAGATAATCCACAAACTATGCTTCACAGAGGTATTCCTCATACAAGAATGATGAGTCCGTGAATACTTGTACATCTCCTGCAAATTGTGCTGTTTCAGGAAGAGGTAGCTTCATCTGGAACCAGCAGACTAGCTGGAACCAGGAATCTAGGTGTCAAGGATTCAGGCATCAGAAGTCAGGCTACAAGAGTGACTGGAGTTCACTTCAGTACTCGTTTTCTGGCAGTGGTTCATATAGAGATGACCAGCAATTCAGAAGCTCAGATACAATGTTTGACGAAGATGCAGTTGGTCTTACTCCCAACATTTTGAATAGACTACAAGGAAAGGATAAACCTACAATGACCAGGATGCTCAAACAATTGGTTCCATATTATCCAGCACTTCAAAGTAAGATTGTGATTAGTTCTTATGTAAAATGAGTTATATCAGCATAAGTTGCTTGAACGTAAGCAGGAGCATGTTGTAGAGTGAGCGCACGCTCTTCAGAGGGGTTGAGGAGTTGAGTTCATTTTGCTCAACATCTGTATTAGTTGAAGAATGGCATTAATTGCCTCTCTGAGGAGACTTTGCCTCTTCACAACTAAATAGAGCTGTGAGTGGGGGGGGGAATTTTGATAGCACAGAAACTTCCTGACTTTAAAGGTTGGTCCTAGGTCATCTTGCTGACTAGCATCTTACATCATGATCAGAGTTTGTACTGTTGGGGTGGCAACTCTGGGGAGGGAATGTATTGGCATAAAGAAAAAATATTGGAATGCATGCAGAACCAAACTTCGATGGCATTGTAATAGATGAAAATACTCCAAACGGATCAAACACATTGGGACTGCAAAAGAGAAATGTTATCAAAGAGCTTGTTTGCTATATGATAAACATTTTTTCCAATTGTATAAGTATTCCTTTGTGTTAAAAATACTGATATACTATTCAAGATAAAAGATTCTCCTTTGGAAATAGATTATAAGAGGTATTTAAAGGGAGGTGGGCATATGCTACTGCATAGCTGTCATTGGGCATGAGTTTGGACAAATGCAAACTATGCTTATGGTAGTACTAGAATTAGTTAATTAACCAGGTAGCTAGCTAACAGTAAAACTATAATTTTAACATTCTCTCTGCTGTATTATGTGAAATAATATGAAATAGAAGTGACTTCAGATGTTTTAATCTCCTCTTTCTAGAACTAAATGTTCAGACATTAATCAATGTGCTAGTAGAAACTAGAGGAAAAAATTAAGGAGCAACAACAGCTGAACTGAAAACAGATGAACAGATTCAAGAATCTCCATCTCTGGGCTTTCAGGAAAGAAACGGCACTTAATTCTGTGTTTGATTTTGGAAGGGGAAAGGGAGGTAGGGTTTCATTTTTTAGCATGTGAAATATAGCTGGAACACAAACTTGCACAAACAAAACATACTATTTTGTTGAGGCTTTTTTAATGTATTTGTTATGTCTTGGTATATTACAGAAAAAGCTTTTGTTATTTTTTGAAAATATGTTAATGTTATTCTGTCAGCAAAAAGCTAATAACCCTTTTAACACCCTTCCCAACTCAGAAAAAAAGAAAGGTTTACTTTTATGTTATCTACTTAGGAAGAAGATTTACTGAAAATACAGGTCCATTGCATGAAAATACAGGTTTACCTTTTTTTCACACAAATGTAAGGCCAGTTCAGTTAATTTAAGGCTTTATAATTATCATATTTTTAGAAATTGATACATTACATTTCTGTAAGAAAGGAGAATGTCACAGCAAAGGTATTATCTGTTTTTATGTGATGCTATATGAGGAAAAAGTAATCTATTCTAGGGGATTGGTATGTAATGGGGCATATTACTTGCTTTCATTTTTGCAGGGTAAAAAGAGACATCACATACGCAGACTTTTTTTTAATCATGTTATTCAGAATGAAGTGGTTACAGATCAACTGAAAACTCATTTGATGGATTGATCCATACTAAAATAAAAATTCTTGATTCTTTCTACGGGCAAAGGCATACTAAGAAATAGTAGAACCTATAAAGCAATCAGGTATAATAACAGAAAAATAAATAATCAAAAGACACACTAACTGAGAAATACTTACCGGTTACTGTTTATCAGTGGTTCATACTTGCATCTTCTTTTCCCCACACTTCTGAGCCTTATGTTCATGAATGCCTTGCTTTACATGTCTGCTTTATGTAATCAAATCCAGCTTATAGGGGGTTAAAGAAAAGGAGCAAAGTGAGATAGTTTACGGCCTGCATACAATGAGTTGGGGATGGGCGAGGACTTAGGAATATATGAGTATTGCTACAGTTTAAGAAAAAGTCTTTTTTGGCTAAAAGCTCTTGCCTGTAACCACAGACTGAAGAGTAGAAGTTACAGTAAGTAATAGTGCTGTTTGAGTATTTTTAAGTGCTTTGGATAGTGGTGGTCTGATATTTTCTTAGAGCAATCAAAGATAACTTGTTAACTGATCTTTGCTTCCTCCACGTTGCTTCTTCAAAGTCACTGCAGGAGATGATGTGCAACTGGAATCAGTCATTACATTTTTTGGTTCAGTTTTGCCACTGAGTCCCTCTCCATCTGTACATGGTGAGATGGAGGGTAAGGTGTTGAGAATGTTTGACACTTAATTCAAGGCCACTTCCACAAAAAGGAAGACTTTGCCTACTAAGCAGAGTGGTTATGTCCAGAGTAGCTACATATAGTTTATTTTTGTAGGGAGCTCACACAGGTGTGAAGAAGTTCTATTTGAAGATATTCCAAGGCTACCCTGAAAGAAGGAGGCAGCTAGAAAATAAAAAGGCAAGGAAAAAAGGTCATTGCTGTTAGGTGGGAGGGACCCCTGAACAGCAGAAAACTAAAACACAGAAATAAAATCACCCCGTCCTTGAAAAAAAGCTGTACAAAAGTGAAGTAGACTACAAAAGTGGATATAATATTTTTACTTAATTTTAAATTCTGTATTAAAAATTAATACATTAAAGCTTATAAAAGTAAGGCACATGCAAAACATGTTGTGCAACTTCTGACTTTCAACTCTTTTATAAACTAACAAGCATTATTTTCATTTGGCATTTCTAAAGAGTCATTTTTCCCCGTGCAGGATATGTGGAAAAAGGTTAAGTTTGACATTGCACCACTTAAATCTAGATTCTGTGCTTTCTGTACAGAAAATGTAAGCAGAGATGGTCATATTGTACTATCATACAAAATAAAAACCAACTCAAGTACACATTCTGAAGGTGATGAGCAACATACAAAATTTAAGAATGTGAAGTTATATCCATTATAATACATCAATAATCTTTTTCAGTACAGGATCATTTGGCAATTCCAGTCTGTGCAGTGCCAGTGTGCATTTCCTAGTTATCAGTGTCATACGATGCTGAAGACCATGGAAAGATATTGCTCATAGGACACCTGAATCCAGCCATCTTGATCAGTATCATAACGTCGGAACACATCAGTCAACCTCTGAAAAAGAAAAAAAAAAACCCATACATTTTGGTACCTTGGGAAAATTCAGAGTGCCATGTATTCCCCTTGCTATTGAGGTTTCTGTAGCTTTATGAAAACCTTGTTTACCCCCTCTGTAGACACTTTACAATCTTGTGCATACAGAGATAACTCTTTGCCATGTCTCATGCTTGAGCTTTGTACCAGATCTGATTTTAAAACCAGTTTATACAATATTAGGCACTTCTTGAGAGACCAGACAGCATTTTATAACTGGCTTTAAAGGCAGAGGGACAATGCACAATTCTCATTAGACAGTTGAGAGTCAGCTGTAAACAGAATCCAACAAGTACTGTGTCTATTTCTCATCTTCTAGCCAAATACGCTTTATGTAGTGGTAGTATCTGAGCTGTCTCTGTAAAACTTCAGAGATGCCAGGCACTACAGATAATGGACCAAGATAACTACCAGTGTGGTTTCACTAACACCAGCTGAATGAGTCTCCATTTCAGAGCCCTCTTTACCAGCATTTAAGTTTACAACAAAGTTTGAACATGAGCTGCCAGTGTGTGCTCACAGCTCAGAAGGCCAACCAGATCCTGGGCCGCATCAAGAGGAGCGTGGCCAGCAGGTCGGGGGAGGTGATTCTCCCCCTCTACTCTGCTCTTCT